TTATTTGGGCCGATTAAAAAATAAATATTGTTCTATATAATATCAAGCCCCTCATTTAAATAGTATTTATATCTTATTATAAATATTTTTAAATTATTGTTGATTAATTATTATTAATATATACTTTTATTTAAATATATATCTTAAATTTCAAAATTTTTTTACCTTTGTCAATATAAAAAATGAAATATAGAATTCAAAAAATATTTAAAATCTATTACTATAAAAAAAAAGAGGTATTTATTTGAATTGGAGAATATTTGGATTTATCTTCTAACTTATCAGTAATTTTCAAATGTTGGATATTGAATAAAATTACATGATAGATATACATAAATTCTTTTGTTGATAAAAATGACGACATAAACAATTAAGTTTATATGTTGAGAAATATTAGAAACATATATATGATATATAGTTAATATTAAATGGAGAGATAAAAAATGACCGGATACGCACTAGTTAATATTAAATGGAGAGACACACTGCAGTATTCCCCTGCTAATATTTCTGCTTAAGCTTCAATTCGAAAATTCCTCGTCCCTCCTAAAGGAACCCTAATTACTGGGAATTAAACTACCTGAAGAACACATCCAATCCTTTTTCTTTTGTGTCTGTGAACCCGTGCTTTGAATTTGGGACACGGCCAGCTTGTGCGTGTGGGAATAGCATTTGAATTCAGAAAACAAGCATGAATTTTGGTGGATTTGGGAAGAATTCAGGTCCAACTACACCGCCGAGAGCTCAAACCCCTTTTGGCCACTTTTCTCGCCCTCCATCTCCTTCTCCTTCCCGCCCCGTATCACCAAGGTATTTCATTTTTCTTAATGTTGGATCAAGACAGATAACTGTTTTTGGTAGTTTTATGTTACTGTATGCGAGCCGATAAGTATCGAGAAATCGAGCATTTAAAGATTTGTCTGTTGCCTGACCACACATATTTGTTACCGTTTTGAGCTGTGTTCATGTTCCTATTATCGGATATTTGTTAATTGAGCAATGACATTGTTATTTTTGTTGAAATCCATTCGGTTAATCATGTTGTAAAACTTTCAAATGGATTTTCTGATGGAAACATTAAGATGGCTGTATAACAAAATTTGTAGAGCGAGTTGCTTCTCTATTTAAATTTGTGTTTTGAGTTTCATCACAATCGTTTTTCTTGATAAATGCGTGTAGAATATTAGGAGAAACGTGAAACTTTAAAATGAGCATTCTAGCATACAAAGTAACAGCTTACAACTTCCTTAGCCAGGAAGTTTGTTGTATTATTTGTGCGTACGTAACTATCCAACCAACTGTACTAAATGTTAGAAGAAGCTTGGAAATATACTGACATGCTTAAATAGAGTTATTACTTATTATTGGATGGAACACAAATGTGTAGTTTTACTTAGGTTTGGTGGGTCCTATTGTCTTGTGTTTGGAAACTCATCACTTAATGACGGGTACCGTATTATTGTTAAGCTTCAGATTTTAGTGTATGGACCATTACTTATCGTGAGGCTTAATTTGTCATTAAGAACTGGAGAGTAGGAAGAAAAGGAACAATGTGAAACTAAAAGTTCAACCAGATAACATTAGACCTAGTTGAAATATGTACGTGCTGATACCGAGTCTGTGAAATAATGAACTAAATGCATTTACTGGTCTGGTTGTCATCATGGCAATGATTGTAGTTTGTTAGAGCTGTAGGTCAAGCCGTCAAGGAATAGTAGCATTATTGGTTACTTAACTAATTGTTAGCCTAAGCTTTCTGTGAAGGTTTGATTTGATCTTTATGATCAACTTGCTTTGTTAAAAACTAAAATTATAGTCGGACTATCTTGTGCCTTTCAAAGTCTCAAGTTCAATTCTGTGGCTCTGTGATGGATACTCATGGTGGGTCCTGTGGCCACCGGATTCTGCTGTTCGATTTAGATTTTACTTATTTATCTGTATGTTTGTCGCATACTTGCGAAAACTATTTAACTAGTTTTAGCTGCAAATTGGTTGCTTATCAGTTAGACATATAACACATTTTGATTGGTTGTAGGCATTAATCCATTTTTTATATAATTTGGAATTAAGTTCATTTTTATTTTTATTTTCGTGAACTGATCATTTACTATGATGTGGTGCTGATAATTTTGTCACGTGACTAAAGATTTTCTTTTCAAGGACAGTTCGTGATTCACTTCTCATTTTTCTGACTATTGCTTGATATTACTTGTTTAGATCCTCACTTGACTATAGTGACCTTGGTATTTCTGAGGGTACTTTCTCGTCACGCTTGGCTCCTTCTCACCCGTTTCCAGGCACGCTTAGGTAACTATCTGTTATGCCTTAGATGCTGTCACTGCCCTTGTGTTGATTCCTGTGATTCCTGTGTTGTCTGTTATACACTTTTGTTGCCCAAAGTTGAATATGAATCTATATATGTAAGATTCAATGATGATGACACACCTTGGTTTTAACTTGTTGATAAGTAGAATTAATTTTTGTATCTTAATTCTTCTTGATGTACATCCTGTTGTACTCCACATTTCTATGTGTTGTGAGTTTTTGTAGAAATTCAAAACCTTAGAGTCTGACAAATATTTATGCATTGAAGACTAATAATCTAGTTTTGGAGTTACTTCTGTTTTTGTTATTCACATCTTCTAGTGTTGATAATGGATTCTTATAGTAAATAGAATTACCAGAAACGGGAGATCATTATCCGGTTGTATTTTAAGGATTATATTAGAGCACATAGGCGTACTGAGTTCGACAGTACTAAAAATCAGCCTAGGCGCCACCCGGCTGTCTCCGATTTGCATGAATCAGCTAAAAGGCTAGGTTGTGCCTAGGCGGGCTCGACTGCAATTTTTCAGTTTTTTTTTTTTTTTTTAAAATACTAATTACATTATTTTGTTATCGTTATCATGTTTTCTTTATAGTATATTGATATTATTATTTGGACTTAGGTGTGCGGATTTATTATAAGTTAAGATAGTTTTATTTTGTAGGTAGTGAAACTAAATACAAAATAAGGTATTTAATCTTAATTTCTATGCCCCGCCTAGGCGCTCTAGGCGTTGAGCGCCTAGCAACTTGTAGAACACTGTTGAGTTCCACTTGCTTATTCTGAATATTGAAATTATTGAGATTATTATTGATTGTTTCATGCAGCAGCAACGGATCTCCTTTGAGATGGGGTGATGCGCCAGCATCCTCTTCTAAAGACCATGGTGCTCAGACTTTTCAAAGGCCTCCCAGCTTTCGGCCAGAAGTTCCTTCACATAATTCAAAAGCCACCTCCTCCACAAGAACCACTGAGTCTCAATATATTGAAAGAACCTATTCACCTTACTCTCAATCTCCCAATGAAACTTTAAGGAATTCCAGAAGTGTCATAGAAAGGTATGCAGCTCTGTGTGTGTGTGTGTGTGTGCACCCCCTCCCCCATTGCATCCCATAAAAAAGTACAGATCATATGTATTTTGTAGCTTATAGTGGTAGTCCTTTACTATCATTACACAATATAGGCATAGATTGTTGGTCCTTTGCAATATTCTATGCATAAAATAAATTGCTTGATTAAGTTTAGGTTTTTTCTTCATGTTACTGGAATATATATATTTTTCATTTGGTTGAAAGTTTTGACCGAAAATCCAGTGGCTCATCTTTCCTCAGTTCCTTGTTGTGCATTTTTTCAGTTTACTAATGCATACATGAATATACGTGTAGATGTATACTTTTTTTTGTATTTTTGCCATTGATGTCCTATTTATTTCCTTCTTCCAATTGTACATTTTTTCATTTTACTACATACATGCATGCATATGTGTGTAGAACTGTAGATGCATACTTTTTTTTTCCTTGCTTTTGACAGTCCTGTTTATTTTTTTTCTAGTTACAAGAGCCACTTGGTTCCGCATCAAAGTCGATCGCCTCCACCTGTTTTTCAGAACTATCCATCGGTTGGTGGCCAGAATCCTCCGAGTACAAAAGTTCAGCAGTAAGTTTATTCTTCATCGAACTATCTACTTTGTTTTTTACTCTTAGGTTTGCCATTGAAGAAACTCAATTGAATTCCCTCACCCTCCGTTTGTCATGACTCATCATTCTATGAAATCCACATTTTGTATTTTGCACTGGTGTTTAAGTTTCTTGCAATTTGGAGCCTCTCCATGACTCGAGCAGGGAATGGTTTCAGACACCTCTATATGTTGAGTGTTAGTCTTTAGGTGAGATATTTATTCTGAAGGAAGAATATTTAATGCACAACTTATCCATGAGTCTGTATTGGGTTATTCAATAATTTGATGAGCTTTAAGTTTCATATCAAGGGAAAATTTATTTTCTTTCCTGTTTTGGTATTAACTTGCTGATGAGTTTTGGAGACGTGTTTGATCTCTGTAGATTTAACTATTGAGGTTCTTTTTGCAGGCACCCTTTTCCTAACCCTGTTCAGGGAAATCGATCAAAGACATCCAGCTCAGTCTTGATAACAAGAGGCAATATTCAACCGAGGCCACTGTTTAAGCCCAAGTATGAAGACGGTTTGCTTCCAATGAGAATGAGATCTCCAACACTTACCTCTACTGGTGGGGTTTCCCCAGAAAACACTGTTTCTTACTCCGATGGTCACCAGAGGTATAACTGAAAATTTTATTTTTGTGACAGATATAGTTCGTCGAATTGAATCTTATTGAAAGTCACTATTGTATTACAATTAATTTTGGTCATCGTTCAAAAAAGTGGTTAAATATTGAACAACTCTATCAATTTTAATATATTTTGTATCATGGCTACCCTCTTACAACGGAGCAGTAAACAGGGCTCAACTAGTTAAAACAAATTTGTTGCTGGAATCTGGATCCTTATGATTTGTAGTGTGCTTCATACAGTCGACTTCATCATATGCATACAGTGCAAAAAAAAAAAAAAAAAAAGGTTCAGGAACAAGAACGGAAATCATGATATCATAGCTGCACTCTTGAGTGTTTCAAAATATGTCATGAGTTGTCAGCTGCTATTAACTTGATGCTAGAAGATTATAAAAAGCTTTTCGTTTTTCTCATAGTCAAGTTTGCCAGTGATTCTATCTTATTTTAGTTAGAGGACTTCTATATCCGCATCACGGTCACTAGTGGATACACATAAGTAATTGCTTCTATCTGTTATAATGGTCGGGTACCCTTTATTTTTCAGCAAGCTACGAGTAAGTTAAGATAGTTTAACATGATGTGTGAATTTTCAGACATGATGATATCCACAATATTTTACACATCCTAGAGTTTTTCTACAATTTTTGTATTCCATTCTTCTGTTGCAAGTTCAATTTTAAACAACTGGTACAGCACCCGTGATCACATGGGTGCGAGTTAAATAACTTATACTGAAATTCTTTAGAAAATGTAGAGAAGTTATTTATTTATTTAAATTGCAACTACTTTTTAACAATTGCATTATTATTTTAAAATATTTATGTTTAAAATGAGACTTTTCACTTGTACGATTTGCCCCTCTTATGTTATAATTAATTTTTCTAACTCATATGTGAATTTATATATAACTTATTTAATAAATATATTCTTTTATTAATTTTTAATTAGTATTAATAGATGATTTAATTTTATAATAAAGAAAAATAAATTTATTTATTTATTTATTTTTTATATGCAATATGGATATCAAATTGAAGCTCGTCAATTTAATATAATATATATGAAAATTTGATAACATATACAAAAGTTATGAACTTCTAAATATATTTATAATTTAAGTTAGTCAAGTACTTTATAAGTATAAAAGTCCTAATAGGTATGGATAGAATCCACATCTACGTGGACTACTCTGAAACACCAGAATTCGACACATAGGATTACGAAGCACTAGAAGTCGACACGTAGGATCGGGTCATTCTGCATTTATATATAGGGGGATTCTTGGAGGTGGATTGTTCCTACTGGCACTACATCAATAATAATTGAACTGTTGAAGTATTTCAGACATTGGCCAATGGTGTTGAGTTTTTCATTCTCTCCTGTGTTTTTCATCTTTTATAGATCTTTGATTCACTATCGGGACCTGGATGCCCCTGAAGCAATGCCATCGCCGCCTTTGGGTTCTGGAAGCAGCTTGCCGAATAGAGAGTCCGCTCGGCCTTTGGCAGGAAATCGGACGTAAGTATTTCGTGCAGTACTGCAGTTTTATGAGTCATTGATAGAGAAACTTTTCTAGTATTATCCTTTCACTAGCTGGCAATGATAGTGTATCTGTATTATATGTGCATATCTCACCTGCTCTCTGAATTTCTTGTCTCTTCAATTTTTACGCGTATTCTACTTATTCTACTTATCTTGGAGTGAAACCTTGAAATATTGGTGTGCTACCCAATGAAATTTGACGTTTGGAGGTTTGGTTGCATTTTCTTGTCGTTTTTTCTGTGAGGACTATTATGTGCACGTGAATGCAAGTAGACATCATTATTTTTGATATTTTCTGCGATAATCAGAAAATTAAATTAAAATAAAAACAAAAAATCTGAGTGCCCAGTTTTGCCTAAATAAGATACTGATCCTGATTTTTGTATCTCTGCGTGTTGCCGAAGTGTATCATTACTCTTATTTTTATAACCTCTAATCATACTTTACATTATGTCACATTAAATCTCTTTACGATCCATAAATTATTGTGCTCGCTGCTCCTATCATGGCCTCTATCCGTGCTGGGCATAGTTATGTTTGGTTGGGTTCATTAATCAATATTAGTTTTGTACGGATAATTATTAATATTGCACCTTTGGTTTAAGTTTTAACTTTGTAAAAAAGGAGTTATCTTTCAAAATTACACTTCCTCAATATATGTTTATTTTTCAAATCAAATGTAAAATAAAAGTAATACAAGGCCAAAGAGGTATTTGTACTTTTAAAGGATAACTGGGTTTTTTCTATTAGAGAGGTGACTTTCAGAATTGTGCTAATTTATATTTAATAGGCTGCTCTGCATGCCTTGAAATTTGAACTTTGATGTATCTTATGAATCTCTCCTGACTCATGTAATGTGGCAGATGTTATTTGGAACCATGAGTCAAAATTAGTGATATTTTTTCAAATTTGGGCCGTTTGTTGCTTGAACGATTATTAGTGTTTTCCCGAACAAAAATTGCAAGATATGATTATGATATAGAACGAGGTGAGAGCTTCAAGGGTGTATGCAGGCCTTCTCCACCTAATGTGCGGGCTCATCAGCCAAACCAATCCATTAGTATTGCCAGTCCTCTTGTTAGAGCAGGCATGTCTCCTGCATTGACAAAGGCAGGTGCTTATAATTCTGGAAGTACACTTCAGATAAAGCATGCAGATGTTTCACTTCCAAAGCGGACGAGGTCTCCAACAATTCCATCTACGAGCGGAGGTGTTCTCCAAGATTCTCCTATTGCTTCTGATAGTCACAACAGGTATGCGAAAATGTGAAATTGTGACCTGTTTGATTTTTGCACTTGTCCATTTATAATTGACATGATATCTGCAATTGGAGTGGTTGTCTTGGTGAGAGCAATGTACATTAGGATTTTAATTTAATGGTATTACAGTAGTGGGCTTTGGTTGGCTGTTTGGTGGTTGCATTGTTCACTGGTTTCAACTGTCTCTCTGTAGTTAACCAAGCTTCAATAATCGAGCTGAGGTCTAATTGTTTATCTATTTCGTAGGTAAGGCAGTAGCCTCTACTTTCCGCTGATTTATTTATATTCTTTCAAAGTTGCCCTTAAATTTCTAAAAGGTTCTGAAGAATCTGAAATTAGGCTTCTGGAGGTAGTAAATGTTAATGACACTGAATTGCCGCAGTCTCATTGTATGTGGAGAATAGAGATGACACTTTGATGTGCCTGTTATCGTGTTTTATTTCGTTACTTTGTAATATGCATTCTTATTTCTCAGGAAAGAACAATGCACTGTGTGATTTATGTGTAAATGTCTTGAGATAGGTCGTGTCACCTCATGAGTTCATATTATAGTTCTTGAAGCTGTAAAACCGTAACTTTTGCATATATATAATATTACTGTCAATTGAAATTTTAATTTTCTATATGCTGTTGCATTATTTATTTGCTTATACCTCAGACATGTATATACATTTCGGAGAAGTTTTCCTCCTAGAGCTCACCAGCCTTTGAGCAGGTCTGAAATTGCTGTGGACAGGACAATGCACTTTCCAGCTGTGAAGAGAACCAAGATACCACTTTCTGCTTCATCTGATCAAGTTTTTGAAGAGAATTTTGATCCTTCAATAGAGATTGAGCGGTAAAACATTCTCTCTTTCATGCTCTTTGTTGAGTATAATAACTATGTTTCACATGGAAACTTTAGTGTTTTTTTACTGGACATGTTGCACAGGGAATTGCTTGCAAAAGAAAAACGCTTAGCTCGCTTTAAAGATGAATTAAACCAACCTGCCCAAAGTCATTCTACTTTCGGAAGTCAAAACACTCCTGCCAAAAGGCAGCACCAGTCTATGTCTGGGAGACCAAAATTATCCGAGGATGTGACAATTGAAGGGACAGCAGATCCTGCTGGTGGAAATGTTTCTTTAACCAATGAAGGCTTGTCATCAAGTAGTATAGCCGGTTTATGTCCAGATATGTGCCCAGGTACCAATGTCGATCTGTTATCCTGTAAATTTTCGTTGGACATAAGGATTAAACTCCTGTTAGTTTCTGCACAGCATGACATTCAACTGACTCTTATGTAAATATGTTTCCAATATAATATGCATCCCCAAATGTTGCCAAAAGGGACACAGAGAAAACTAAGTGTATTGTCATTCCAGGGAGTTCTGGGAGATTTCTCTTTCGTGGTAGATGATGTGTTACACTTTTCATGCTTGCACTCGTCTCTTGCTTCCTTATATCTGCCTCATTGATGTATATGTTGCAATCAAGACTCTCACTTGTTTCTGGCTTCCTCATATCCCATTCCAACTGAATAGATAAAAGTATAATATTTGCAAGACAAAGATCAGCTTGTGTAATGGTTTATCTTAGGGGGTGATTGGATATAAAACATTATGGTTTTGATTGGATTTATTGGATAAAGTGAGTAAAATTTTAATAAAGTTGATTGAATGGCAAATTGAGTGAGATTTTGAGTTTGTATTTAAGTAATATTCAAAATGTAATGATTAAAGTTGATGTTAAAATATGTGAGTGGATGAATAGTGAATTAAAGTTGATGTGATGTGTGAGGAGATTGATTGCTATTTAATTTTGAATAAAGTTGATTGAATGGAGAATTGAGTGAAATTTGAAGTTTGTGTTTAAATAGTATTTAAAATGTAATGATTAAAGTTGATGTGATGTAAAAGTAGGAGAAAGGTGATTGAAAGTGATGAGTAAATAAAAAGATGTGAGTGAATGAATAGTGAATTAAAGTTCATGTGATGTGTGAGGATGATTGATTGCTATTATTTAATTATATAGATAATATTGATGATATTTATGTTGGATAAAGTTGAGTTAGATTGTGAGTTAAAAAGTGTAAAAAAATATCCGGTCAGTCAAAACCGGATAATTTCTGTAGCCAACCGTGCCCTTAATCTCCAAGAAGGCTGACCTTCTAAGTTGTCATTTGCAGAGTCTGAGAGAGCTGAACGCGAAAGAAAAGGAGATCTTGATCAGTATGAGCGCTTGGATGGAGATAGAAACCTGACCAGTGAATTTCTTGCTGTAAAAAAGGTATTTATTTGAGTATGCTTCTAAAAAAAAGAAACGTTTGGTGGAGAGAAATGCTAAAAAGTAACTCAAATATATGATGGTTTTCTTGCGATTCTCAGTACACTAGGACTGCAGAGCGAGAAGCAGATCTTATTCGTCCATTGCCGATTTTGCAAAAGACAATGGACTATCTTCTGAGTTTGCTTGATGAGCCTTATGATGATAGATTTCTTGGCTTGTACAACTTCTTGTGGGATAGAATGCGGGCCATCCGTATGGATTTGAGAATGCAGCATATTTTCAATCTTGAAGCCATCAATATGCTGGAGCAAATGGTGTGTTTCTCTTTCTGATTTTCCCAATGCTTTGGCGAGCTTCGGATGTTTGTGCTTTACTAATATTGTTGCACATACATAATTTATTGTGCACATTTAAAACGGGGGCAACTTACTGTATCAATCCATTATCACAAGTCACATAGTTGTGTTGAAATAGATGGTCCCAGAAACAGGAATCCGTGATTTCTGTATTTTTGTAACTAGAATTGCTAACTAATAATAGAGAATGATGTTTTGTGATATTTTAGTCACAGAATATTTTGTGTACTGTATATACATGAAAGCATTTGTAATTTTTCTCTCTGCTATCTTACTACATACAACTCCAACAGAGTGTTCTTACTGTGTCCACCACATAGCCTTGACCTCCATTTCCCTCCATATTTTGAAATATCTAAGAAAGTAACTCAGTGCTATATTTATTCTGGTAGATAAGACTCCATGTCATAGCCATGCACGAGTTATGCGAATACAACAAGGGAGAGGGTTTCTCCGAGGGATTTGATGCGCATCTTAATATTGAGCAGATGAACAAAACTTCTGTTGAGCTGTTTCAGTTGTATGATGATCACCGGAAAAAAGGAATACATGTGCCGTCAGAGAGAGAATTTAGGGGTTATTATGCACTCCTCAAGCTTGACAAGCATCCAGGGTATAAAGTACGTCATATATTGTGGAAATTGATTCATTAACTCTTATATTGATTTTGTCTGTAAAATAAGAACATCATGTCAGGTTGAACCTGCAGAGCTGTCACTTGATTTGGCTAAGATGACACCCGAAATGAGGCAAACTCCAGAAGTTTTATTTGCTCGTGATGTAGCCAGGTTTTATTCTACCCAAATGTGTGATTTTGTTTTTGTTATTATGCTTTAGTGAGCATTATTTCCTATTATACTTACCATTTTCTCTTTTTACTTTTTTCAGAGCCTGCAGAACAGGAAATTTTATAGCTTTCTTTAGACTTTCCCGCAAAGCTAGCTATCTTCAAGCATGTTTAATGCATGCTCATTTCTCTAAGGTATGGGCTCTGCCTCTTACCATCATTTCCTCAACTGAGTCTACAGATCAACTATTCATGCATTCATTTATCTTCTACATTTGGTATTGTTTCTTCGTTCGATGTTCTGGATAATATAGATCCTACTGCTATTTTCATTTGGTATTTCGGGAAGTTCGGATGTATGTGTTGGATGTTAAGCCTACACCGAGAAGTTTGTGGAAGCCTACACCGAGAAGTTTGTGGGTGCCTTAACAGTTGCAGATATCAATTTATTCTGTGGTCCTATCAGTTACTATATCTGACCATTATCTGTTTTCTGTTAGTTGTAAATCAGTTGCACCATTAATTGAATATTGCTTGTGGTGACTCAGGAATTTTATAGCGATGAATCATTTCTTTGTTGTTTGGCCAGTTGCGTACCCAAGCCCTTGCTTCCTTGCATTGTGGTCTGCAGATCAACCAGGGAATTCCCATCACTCTTGTTGCCAAATGGCTCGGGATGGAGGTAAATCTGTTCACAATTTTGTGCATCGTTTTGTTGAAATGTCTTATGCTTTCCTCAGTTTCTTATACTGTCTTCCTTCACAGGACGAGGAGATAGAAAACCTTGTGGAATACTATGGTTTCTCGGTTAAGGACTTTGAAGAACCTTACATGGTGAAGGAAAATGCATTTTTCAATCTGGAAAATGATTTTCCAGTCAAGCGTTCTAAACTAGTCATTTATAAGAGATCAAGAATGATAGTCGGGGATGTACAATATGCTTGTCAGAATGAATCTTATGCTGAAGATGAAATAAAAGGTTTCCAGCCGAAGGCGGTTCCAGAGACTATACCTTCACATACACGATCTAGCTTGCCTGCAAGTACTACACAGCTCCATGTTGAAAATTTGCATGACTTGGGTACCATATTTTCCCCAAAAGGTAGTGTCAAAAAACACATGGATAAGGCATCTATTGCTCTAACGACCCCAGAAATTGATATGGTTGGCGATGAGGTTCAGTTGGTTCCCACTAGTCCTTTGGTGTTGGATTTCTCTAATAGTTCTTATGAACATCATCAAAGCGGAGCTAAGTCTGCACATAAACCAAAATTTGAACCTAGTTTTAGGAACTCGTTTGGTAGGGTGAAGCCTATGTTGGAAGCAACAACAGCACCAATGACACTGGAAACAATTGATGAAACTAGATTCCCTGTTATATCTCACGATTCTGTTGTTCATAGTCCAATAACACAGCCTAAGTTCACTGAGGACATAGAAGAAGATGAACAGATACTTCTCATGGAAGAAGAAGATGAACAGACACTTCTCATGAAAGAAAATAAATCCGATGAAGTTACCACCAGTTATTATGACAAAGAAGTTGAAGAAGCCAGACTTAAGCTGATGCTGAGGTTTTAGATTTTGTGTATTTTGGTTGTTTACGATGATTGTATTTTTCGATATTGTCCTTACATGGGTTATTTTCAGGATATGGAAACGTCACACAGCAAAGAAGAGGGAATTGCGTGAGCACAAGCAGCTAACAGCTAGTGCTGCACTGAGTTTGCTGTCAATGGGCCCACCAGTTAGGCGATTTGAAATTGTGAGTATTCAATAAAAGCTGTTTTTCTTTCTATATGTTGAATAATATATATGTATCTCCTTTGGTAATGATTCTAAGAACTAACTAAAATAGTAGTTGTGGAACTTTTCCGATGCTACCTGAGCTAGTTCTTCTGTTCCATGGAAGTGTTGAGTTATGGAGTGTATTTGTGAAATATATGTGAATGGATGTTGATCGAGTAAGACTTTTGCTGTCTGAAATTTGTGAACTTGTAAAGTCATCGCTCCTGCCTCTGTTATACTTATGGCCTTATATAACACGTAAATTTCTTCCAGTTCACATCTGAATATTTGTGGCATAAATTTTATTAATGTTTTCTCGTTTGTCCCTTCCTCTACAGCAATCAAGCAGCTTCGGCACAATCAATATCAATCATGTCATGAGTGAGAGGCACAAAATTCAAGAAAGATCGTGGTCATTGTTGAATCCCTCAGAGGTGGGAGCACCAAAACTTCTCGAAAAAAATAAAGATGCTAAATGCCTTTGCTGGAAGCTGCTCATATTGTCTCAAACGGAACAAAAAACGAAGCCATCGAATGAAGCTGCCTCCATTTCATCTACAGATTCATGGCTGTATTCTAAGCTCATGCCTGAGAAAAATGATGCTGATGGCGATCTGCTTGTATCATCCCCTGGCCGCCTTTCAATTTGGAAAAATTGGCTTTCTAGTTCCAGTGCTGACCCGACCTTGTGTTTATCAGTTATCAGGAACATCACATTCGAACAACAAAATGAGGCTACAGCAGGATCAAGTGCAGTTCTCTTCGTTTTATCAGATTATATTCCGATGGAGTTTCAGAAGAAAGGTCTTCATGATTTTGTTATGTCGCTACCTTCAGGTTCTCGTTTGCCTCTACTTGTATTAAGTGGCTCTAGCAAGGATGAAGCCAGTCCATCTAGCATAGCTTACGCTCTAGGGATGGATGAGATCGACAAATCCAGGGTGGTAAATTTTTATGTTACATTTCTTAAAGACAGTATTAAAAAATTGGACGGATTTCTTAGTGATGAACATTTGAGAGAAGGACTCGAGTGGCTGGCTAGTGAAATGCCACCTCAGGTTGTTGTCCGAGGAACAAAAACCCGTGAATTGATCCTGTCCCACTTGAATTCCACTTACGAAATTTTTTACGACGAGATGAATATTCACAGATTTGGGCCTGACGATTGCATCTCGGCATTTAATAATTCTCTGGATCAGTCGATGAAAAAAGTGGCTGATGCAGCCCGTGCAAACCCCACTGGTTGGCCATGTCCCGAAATCGAGTTACTTGAAGGGTCGAAGGAAGAGAAAATAGCAGCAGCTTGGTATTTGCCTAGAGTGGGGTGGAGCTCACAATCGAGAACTGAATTGCTTATGCGTACCTTGAATGATCTGAAGCTCCCTGCTTTGGGAGACGACTTGTGTTGGTTATCAGAAGGCTGCAACATTGGTCGCGATTCCGAGGGCAAAAAATCACGGCTCGAAAATTGCTTGACCGAATATTTGTCTAAGAGTAGTGGGATGATGGATATAGACTTGGCCCGGAAAGAAGCAGGTGTTCTGCTTCAGAAGTTCACTCGGCTGGAGCTTCCTAACACGACGTATTTTATTGTTCCAAATTGGGTCTCGATTTTCCAAAGGATTTTCAATTGGCGGCTGATGAGTTTGAATAGTGGTGAAGTGTCGTCAACATATGTCTTGGAACATGATTATATCACAAGTCTGAGTTGTGAGTCTGTGGATGAGTTAGAATCACAAGTTATTACATTCCACCCTCCTTCCACTGTCTGCCCATTGCTCGACGAATTGGTTGAAGTTGGTTATCAGACGAATGAGTCGAATTATATGGAATATGAAGCCATTCGGCCGTTTTCATCACCACCTATGGTTTCTTTTGGTGCCACTTGTGATGATGAGGATGATGAAAATGCCATTTTATTGGCAAATAAAGGGAAATTTTCTGGGAAAAGTTGTGACCATTTAGCAACGGAAGAAAATAATGAACGCGGTTTGTCGATGAATGTTGTGAAAACAACACCGGAAGCGGATAAATTAAGTGAATTGTTGGACAAGTGTAGCATTTTGCAAAACCTGATTGACGAGAAGTTGTCGATCTATTTTTGATATTGGAGTGTGCATTATTAGTCGAATTTCGTGAAAATTTACCAGGAAAACTTTGGAAAGCAAATTTAGTCAGTAAAAACAAAAATATTTGACATGAAGTAGACCGTGCATTTTGAAGAGCTTTGGCAGTGATCTGATCTTACATTTTACATTTTATACTTGCACTTCTGATGTCTGCAGATTCATGACGCTTTTAGAATTCAATTTGCTTGTTCATGGTTGTAATATTGGGATGAGAAGGGATTATTTTGTAATATTGGGATGAGAAGGGATTATTTATTTAAATATATTATGGACAAACACTGTATAGGCGGATAAAATAATAAACAAACACCCTCTGGATTGTAATAAGCATATAATAATAGATTGTCCTGCAGATACAAAGATAATGATAGATTCAGCAATCTGAATCACTATTAGTTCAAAGAAGAATAGATAGATAATTTCAAGGAAATAAATTATCAATACAATTTGTAAGGATTCACTCGTGAGAATCGAAACTGCAAGTTGAACAAGTTTGATTTTGGAAAATGTTACAATCCCGTCTTTTCCTAACGGTAAAAAAATACATCAAAATTCAAAGCAAACAATTTTGAGGGAACAATCCGATTTTTTGACCTATTTTTACAAGTGTTTTCCGATTCGACAGTTTTAAGGGGCGGACTGAACCATAGGTTGATAGGTACAAGTCGCCGTTTCGCTCCAATTTTCGATGTTTTGAATTATTCAAAGATGTTTCCTTCTCAAGCTCAAACTATCAAGTTCTGGTCACAGATTCCAGGTCCAATGCCGACTCCTTCTCCTAAGAGTGAAAATTTTTTCTGGCCTTTGCCGCGTTTATGAATAATCACTATACTTAGCAGCAAAGAAAATAAAGTATGGGTCGATCTTTATGACTACAATCTCGTTATGACTTATGACATACGACTATGGGTGTATATCGTTGATGTTCACGGTTGTAATTAGCTTCACAGACGTATTATTAGCTTTTTTTTTTT